GGGAGCAACGTGGAATCATCTTATTTAAGAATCCAGAATCACTGAGGTTGGAAAAGCCTTGCCAGCCCATGGATCCCCCTGTGCCCAATGCCTGCCTTGTCCCCCAGCCCAGAGCACTGAGTGCCATGGCCAGGCCTTCCTGGGACACCTCCAGGGCTGGGCACTCCAAACCTCCCTGGGCAGCCCCTGCCAAGGCCTGAACACCCTTTCCAGGGAGAAATTCCTCCTGATGTCCAACCTAAAAGAAACCAAGAAAGAAGGAAGAAGCAACCTCTGGATCCCAATCACTTTCTTGAGGACTGACTGTTCACACTTTTAATGGTATGAAAGTGGCCACCAGGTCTGGAAAATAAAAATAGGCTTCTCATGCTCAAAACCCCAGCCCAGGATGAGGTTCTCACCACCACTCAGCAGTCCCCTGTAGGGCCCCATGTCCAGCTGCCACGATCCCAGGATGTGTTTGGTGCTGGTGCAGCAGAAGAGATTCCTGAGCTGAGCATTGTTGTTCCTGAGGGAGCAAGAGCTGGTGTAAAGGTGTGACCTTGCTAGAGCAGCTCTTCTAAAGCACTTGTGTATTTATGGAGATCTGATTGCATGTGGAGCAGGAGATTTCAATGAACAGCAATTTGGAAGTGGGAATACTGTATCAGCTTTGCTATGACTGATGTCTGCATAATGAAAGTGTCTTTTTTTGTACTGTTTTCTTAAAAAAAAACCCTATTTGACAAGGAAGTACAGGAATGTGAAGCTCGAATACATCTTTAAATCTGCATATTGATTGCCTAACTTACAACCAGGACTAAAAACTTCCTTTTGTTATTACAAATGTGTGCCCTGAGTACTACAAAAACAGGATCACCACTGTTTGTTTCCAACGTGACACTTTCATTTTCCTTTTGACTCCTCTTGCAACCGAGACAATATTTCTGTTTCTCGGTGCTCAGCAACGTTGCTGAGAGACTCTTGTTTTTCTGTGATGGCTTTCAGCCCCATTTTGCAGAAAAATGTCACAGGATGACACTGCTCCCATACAAGTGACAATAAACTTCCCCCTGGTTTGCATCAGAGTCAGATAAAAGTAAAATCTTTCCCTCCTGGGGAAACACCTCCTGGCTGATACCAGGGGAACTGCTTTGAGGAGACCTGGGTCATTTCTGCAGCGGGAAATGGTTCTGCCCTGGTTGGAGAGAAGCACTGGGGACATATTTGGGTTTTAAGGGGTTGTGGGAGGACTTTAGAGATTAAGAAGGGGAAAAAAAGACTGAGATGTGATGATAAAGGTCTGGTATTTGCAGATAAAGGAACAAACCCTGCCAGAGAAGGTCAAGTTTTCTTGGTAGAAAAGCATTTCCCTGGATACCTTGGGAAGCCTTGGGTTATGCCCGTGCAAGGTTTGGATTTTCTTGGAATTTCCATTGAATATTCCTGCCCCAGTGAGTGCTGCTGCTCCAGATCAGCCCATGGTATCAACCTCAGAGCGAGGCGGGCAGGGAAAATGTTGCCATTATTAATCAGTAAGAAAAACTGTTCTATCCAGGCCACTAAGCCAGAAGACAGAGGTGATCAAGGTGAGTTTGTTGGGTTTTTAGGTAGGAATGTGGCTTTACAGTATTTATAAAAAGTTACACTTGGTGTATTTCCTGATTTCTTATTTTTATCTAGTGGAAAGTGTCCCTTCCCGTGGAATTAAATGATCTTTAATGTCCCTTCCAACCCAAACCAGTCTGTGATTCTATGATTTTAAAGTTGCCTACAGATTTATTTTTAGAAAGCAGCCCCGCTTCTACCCTTGTGCTGAAATGCAGCAGAACTATGAAGGTCTGAGGAGGAGAGGGAGCACCTCTTACTGCTGGGGCAGAGGTTTCCAAAGTCCTCTTTAGGGTGAGTCCTTCACTCTGATTTGTGAACTCTGAATAAACATTGTAACAGTTTTCAATGCCCCATTATTCTGACTTTATTGGTATTTTAAGTGGCAGGATGGGGTTTGATTTTTAATTTTTTTAATACAAGCCGGGGGAGCTCCCAGCTCCTCAAAATTCCAATAAATAAATAAATTAATGTCTCGAGTTTGCCTCCTGAGGTGTGAGATTTTGGGATAAATTTGTATACATTTGTAAAATTGTTTTTTGTGATTTTTCTCTGCTAGGATTTTCTAAATGACAGCTGATAAATCTCTCTCTCTTTAAGGCCTATCTTCCAAAACTGAAGGCCATAAATATAATCATTATTATGTACTGCTTTTAACAGTATAGTTCTGGTTCCAGGCACAACCATGTTTTTCCTCTTCACTGGTCACTGCACTGTAAAGTTACATTTTTCCTGTGGTAAACCCCCAGATTTATGTGGTTTTGGGCTGCACTCCTACAGGTGCTTAATGGCTTTACTTGATAATTCCAAAGCAAATGAATCTGGTTTCATAATTGCATTGTTGGTAACACAGTTAGAGTCAAGAGCAGGTTTATTTTTTGAGTGAGAATCCAAGATTTTACAGCACAGGGAGCAGCTGCAGCAGGTTCCTTTAGAGAGCTGCCGACCCTCCCATGCCCGTGGTAACCCTCACACAGAAAGCACAATTCCCTTTCATTTTAAACCTATTTCTGGACACAAATAGTCCTGACATAAAACTTTCAAATCAGGAGCTTCCTGCTGCTTTTCATCACGTTACCTTCCTGCTATAATTTGGGGAATCAGCCATTTCCATAGCTGCCCTTTTATTTCGTTTTATTTGGCGTCTGTTGCCGTCGGGCTCGAGATTTTAACTCCATTTCCAACTTTTTATAATTTCCATTCAGAGCTTTACATCTCCCAGGAAGCTATTCCACGCTAGATTGCAGGTTTTGGCTGATAGGTTTTTTTGGTGACCTTAAAGAGGAAAATGTGCAGGCTGCCAGTTCCCTCAACCCTTGGAATAATTGGAAATAGAAATGGTTTGGAATGATACATTAACTGTGAACATTAGCCACTAAGCATGCTTACTAGCTACTTTGATCAAGCTCTTTTTTTCCTGACAAAACCCCCTTTGAAATGAATAGGACAGAGGTTCCTTTCACTTCAATCAGAGTTCTCAGACACGAGGAGAAAGAAGGACTTCATAACCTTTAAAAAGACTCCCCTAGTCCATTCATGGATCTCCTGGAAAGCTCAGCACTTTCCCTTGTGCTGGAGTTACTAAGCCAGCCTCCTGGACACTTTTAGGCTCCCTTCTAGTGAAGATTTGCTTAAACATGAGATCAAACCCCTCTGTAATGAGACTGGAATCCGGGATGTACAATGGCAGCAACACCAGGAATATTTGAGAGCGTGGATTCATCAGCATCACTTCCCTAATTGCATCCTCTGAGTCTGGAGCTGGCATGGAGCAGAAGACAATTCTTCTGAACACTTACTATCTTGATTATTTTTGTGTATTTACAGTCAAATCATTAGCACCCTCAAAATTCCAGTTCATCTTTTAACACCCTACACTCCATCAAGGTGTTGAACACCCCACAAGGCTGAACAGCCCTGTGCATTGTGGCCAAAACCACTTCTGGACTCTCTGTTTCTGTGTTTTCTGTGCCTTTTTTGTTTTTTAATACTTCTTGTACTTTATAAGGTAACAATACAGAATATAGAACTGCTCATGCCATGTCATGTTGCAATAATGCACATCGAGATAATTGTCTGTAAGTGATGCCTGTGCTTGGAGAAGATTAATGCAGTGAGAGGGAAAAAACCCAAAAACCAAACAACAGAAACAACAACAACAAAACAGGATACATTTGCAGAAAAGACCACCAGGCTTCAGGCAGCTAGGGTGAGAACAAGGATTCCTTGTGCTAAATGTCACTCTGGAGAAGCAGAACCAAAAGCCCCCGAGCCTATATGACTCTGACATTTCCACTGACACAGGTGCTCAAGTGAAATCTGGGGGGTTTCAGTCTACCCAGTGCTCAAATGTGCATATTCAACTCCATTATCTCCACAGAAAACACAAAGACAAGTCAGAATTCAGCTGCTGAACAAATAATTTCGTTTGAGATGTGGTTTCCCTGATTTGTGCATCAAAAACAACTTATTTTGTCTACAGGTGAGGTACAGCTCATGATTTTTTCACAGCTACAATTCTTCAGAAAACCTGTAATATTTTACCAGAGGAAAAGATCAGATTATGCACTTAAAAGATTGATGGTTCTGGCTTAAAGCTAAACTAATGTAAGCTGAAACTTTAGTTTTGCCCATGTTCATCTCTGTGCAATGGTTTTTTTGACTACATAAAAAAACCCCCTCTGTATCCTACAGGGCACCATTTAAAAAAAATTGCATTGCTTGTAGAAATAAAATAATGGGATGAGTTTAGGACTAAGAGCCACCTTGAGGGTAAATATGTTCCATTTTTGTTCTTTTTTTTTTTATTTTATTTTTTAAGGAGTGAAAAAGAACAGAACATGCACACAAAAGGGAAAAGGCTATTATTATCTATTGTTCAGCTGTGCTGACTGAAAGGGGAAACAAATCTTAAAGCAGTGTGTAAAATGCCTCTTTCTTGCAGAAAGGAAAGTTCTTGCTGTCTTTCAACTACTCAAGGAAGTACTTCAGGAGGAACTGCCTGTTCCACTCAGCTGCCTCACCTTTCCACATGTATGTCACCTGTGCAGCGGGGCTGTAACACACTCCAGGTAATGGAATTTTTATGGAAAATACAGCTCATGCAGAAAGGCATCACAATGGCTCTTTGAAAATGCCAACCCTCTGCTGCTACCAATTAATCATGAGTCATTTTAGGGGTATCAGACACATTTTGGCTGCTTCTAAAACGGTGCTGAGCTATAAATTCTAGGCTAGAAACCATACAACTGTTAAACATTTATGTCTTCATTCTAATCCAAGTCAAGAACTGTATGAATAGAAAATTTTAAAGGGAGTTATAAATGAGCAAAGTATCACACTTCTGTTCTCTGTTGGTTTTCTCATCACCTTTAAAGCTTCATTTGCTCACATGACTATTACTGAACATTTACCTGATGTTTTCATAGGAGTTAATCCAATTTCCACATCTCTTTCCCAAGCTAATTTGGGTCCGTGGCTGATGAACGTAATGTTCTTCCTCTTTCTTTTTGCCTCCTGTGTATTACTGTGCTTGTTTCATCTGCCTTCTCTCTCTCTCTAGCTGACACAATTCTTTATTCTTCATTTTGTAAATCATGTGTTTGTCAAGAACGGTAGTTGTATTTGCTGTATAAAACCATGTGAATAAAAAAATGCAACAGGTAACTAAAAATGAACGGCAATTTAGAGACTAAACCTATTTTTTCCTAATTAAAAAATGGAATATTAGGTACAGCTGGCACTGTGATCCAAATGGTTAAGCTTTGACTAACAGTTTTGGTTTAATTCAGAGGCAGAAGGTTGCACTGACAACTCCTGTGAGAGCTCTGAGGTGGAGGTGAGTTTAGTAAACTAAAACATGACTTCAAAATGAGGAAGAACTTCTCTATATTTAGGGCAGCCAAGCACTGGAATAGGTGCCCAGGGAAGGTGTGGAGTCTCCCTCTCCAGACACGTTCCAAACCCACCCGGATGCTTTCCTGTATCACCTGCTCTGGGTGCCCCTGGTTGAACTGGATGATCTCCAGAGGTCCCTTCCAACCCTAAATATTGTGTGATTCTGTGGAGAAAATAAACAAATAATTGAAACGTGCAAGCATGAGTTTGTTTCTAAGTCACTCAACTCTTCTGACGAGCTCTTTTTATTGCTGGAACACTTTAAGTTCACACCAGCTGACGAGCTGAGGAGAGGAACCAGATGGTTTGTCCCGAGAGCAGGGGACACTGTGGGGACACGGTGGGGACATGGCAGAGGCACTGTGGGGACACTGTGGGGAGAGAACAGGGACACGGTGGGGACACAGCAGGAATACTGTGGGGCCACGCCAGGAACTGTAGGGACGCTGTGAGGATATTGTGGGGACACTGTGTGGACACTTTAGGGACAGGGTGGGGAGACAGTGGGGATGCTGTAGGGCTATGGAGACACGGAGGGGACACTGTGGGGAAACTGTGGGGACACAGTGGGGACACTGTGGGACATGGCACGGACACCATGAAGGCACTGTGTGGACACTGTGGGAACATGGAGAGGACACTGTGGGAACATGGAGAGAATACTGTGGGGATACTGCGGGGACACTATGGAGACTTTGGGGACAGTGTGGGGAGACAGTGGGGACGCTGTGGAGGTACTATGGGGACACTGTGGGGACATGGAGAGGATACTGTAGGGACACGGCAGGGACCCTATAGGGACACTGTAGGGACATCGTGTGGACGCTTTGGGGACAGTGTGGGGAGACAGCGGGGACACTGTGGGGACACTATGGGGATGCAGAGGGGATACTGTGGGGATATTGTGGGAACAGTGTGGGGACACGGCGTGGACATGGTGGAGAAACTGTGGGGACACTGTGGGGAGACAGTGGGGACGATGTGGGGACACCGTGGGGACACTGTAGGGATACGGCAGGGACACCGCGGAGACACTGTGGAGACTCAGTGGGGAGACAGCGGGAATACTGTGCGGACACTGTGCAGACCCAGCGGTGGCACTCCCGGGACACCGTGGGGACCCGGCGGTGACAGTTTCGGGACACTGTTCGGACACCGCACTCTCCGCTCGCTCCCGGTCCCGCCGCCCCCCTCAGGCTCCCCGAGGCTCCCTCAGCCTCCCGCCCTCGGCTGCGCGCGCAGCGCCGCTCCCGCCGCGCGGGCTGCCGGGACGGCTGGCGGCCGTGGTTAATGTCCGCCATGTTTGCCATGGCGCAGGGAGCGGACCGAGCGAGCCCGGCGCGGATCTAGGGCTGCGGGGCGTGCGCGGCGAGCTACGGGCGGCCCCGCCGGGAGCTGCGCCGGGGCGGCGGGACCCTCCATGGTGGCGCGGGCGCGGCGCGGGAGCGGCTGGGAGGCGGCGGCGAGGCCGCACTGAAGGGCCCCCCCCCCCCCCCCGCCCGCCCGGCCCCGGGGTGTTATTGTGAGGGGGAGACAATGAGCAAACTCTCCTTCCGCGCCCGGGCGCTAGACGCCGCCAAACCGCTGCCCATCTACCGCGGCAAGGACATGCCCGACCTCAACGACTGCGTCTCCATCAACCGGGCCGTGCCGCAGATGCCCACGGGGATGGAGAAGGAGGAGGAATCGGTAAGGGAGCGCGGCGCAGGGGGGGCACCATTGTTTACAGGCACCCCCCGCGCGGGCGCCGCCGGCCCGTATTCACCAAGCGCGCTACGCCCGGCCCGCCGCGCCGCGCGCGGGGCGCTGCGCAAACGGCGCAGCCTCGGCCGCGCTCCGCGCCGCGAGCGGGGCCCGCGCCGCCGGCCGCCATCTTCTGTGCGCGTCCCGGCCGCCGCAGCGGGGCGAGCCGGCACACGGGACAGCGCCGGGGCACGGCCGGCACTGCGGGCGTCGGAGCTGCGGGGCGGTGCGGTGTTGTGCCGGAGCGGCTCGGGATGCCGGAGCGCTGGAGCTGCAGAGCGGGGCGCCGGAGCGGGGAGCTGAGGTGCCGGGACAGCTCGGGGTGCTGGAGCGGGCGCGGAGTGCCGGGGCGGCTCGGGGTGTCTGTCAGTTCGGGGGGTCAGTTCGGGGGGTCGGGGCGGCACAGCGGCTCGGGGTGCCGGAGGTGAGGGCTCGGGGTGCGCGGGTGTCGGAACAGCCCGAGGTGCCGGAGCGGTGGAGGGGCTCGGGCTGTCGGAGCCGCTTGGGCTGCGGGGTGTCGGAGCAGCTCCGGGTGTCGGAGCGGCTCCCGGTGCCGGAGCAGCTCTGAGCGCTCGTGGCGTGGTGGACTAACGCTGATACTACTGCCGGCCGATCCTGGTGTGAGTGGCTGTCAACTCGCTCGGGCTGGGGAGGTGGCGGCGGCGAGGAGCTGCTGGGAGCAGCGTGCTCTGCTGTGGCACCGCACGGGGAGCGAGCGGATCCCTGCCGGCGTCTGTCTGTCGGAGGGACAGCGGGATGTGTCCCGATCCTCCAGCCGAGCCCGGCGGCCGTGCAGCGCGGCGTGTTGGGCTGTCAGTCCGTGCGCTTGGAAAAACGCTGTGACTGGTCAGGGGATGGAGAGGACAGCCCGGCACTCACACACCGTGACTGGACAGGGGATGGAGGGGACAGGGACAGCCCGGCACACACACACTGTGACTGGTCAGGGGATGGAGGGGGACAGCCCGGCACTCACACACTGTGACTGGACAGGGGATAGAGGGGACAGCCCGGCACTCACACACTGTGCACATGTCAGGCTGGAAAGGACAGCCCGGCACTCACACACTGTGACTGGTCAGGGGATGGAGGGGACAGCCCGGCACTCACACACTGTGACTGGACAGGGGATGGAGGGGACAGCCCGGCACTCACACACCGTGACTGGACAGGGGATGGAGGGGACAGCCCGGCACACACACACCGCACATGTGGGGCTGGAGGACACGGCAGCTTTGGCTCCCTGTGTGAGGCAATGTCTCCGTGCTTGTAGCCGCCCCCGGAGTTATTTAACAGCGATGTTTTGTGCCGCTCGCTGTGCGTGGCGTGTCAGAGGAATCAGCTGGACCCTTCGCGTGAAGTGCTGGACCTTTAAGTGTTATTTCGGAGTCAACCGGCGCGTGTTCAGGTTCGATGTGTGATGTGTGTTCTTCCCGTAGTGTTATGGGAGGGAAAAGCTTTTGTGCAGTTAAGTAAACGTGAGTTTCCGGGGTTTCTGGTGAGCGGTAGGACAGCTTTGAAAACGCTTGCTTGCTTTCCGGTGTCCTCCCAATGTGCTGGCTCTCTGAACATCTTCTCTGTCCGAACGAGGTTTATTTGGTGCTCCTCGGGGGTTGTGTAAGCTCAGAGGCTGTCGCCTGATGTGTCTGTACTTGCAGGCAGAGCCGATAGTAAAGGCACCCTCCCGAATTTCCTCAATGAATCCGTGTCTCCGCCTCAGCCAAACCTCTGTGCCTGTGGATTGGCTTTTCCGAGGTTACAGCTGTCAGAGGAGGCTCCGTGCTTCCCTCCTTGGTTTTACTCACCTGACTGGTGATACTAAAAGCGATCTGTTTTCTTTTCCTGTTTACTGTGTCTAATACACTGTGATCAAAGCTTCCAGTAATTCCCAAAGAGTAACTCTGCTAGAATCTGGGATTGGAGTTAAAAGGAACAGCCTTGTGGTACTAATGAAGCAATATTGGAGACTAATTTGGTTTTCTCAGTCTTGAAGGTCTGCCTTGCAGTGCTGTGTTTGCATTTAGTATCTACGTTAATTTTTAAGTCCTATTGTTATTTTGATAAATGATGTTTTCTTTTAAACCTGTCAGAGGAAAATTGCTATGAGAGTTCAGGCAAACCAGCTGCTTGTGGGCTGCTTAAATAACTGAGGGGATTAGATTTAGACTTCAGTAAAACCGAAGAAGTGTTGTCCTAAAAAGTTGCTTTTCTGTGAGAGTGAGGTTTGTTTCCTCTGCACTGACATGTGGCTCTATTTGATATATTATGTAATAGTTCCAAAATGAAATGATGGAAGCAATGTATGAGCATAGTGCTTGATGCATCAGCCAGGCAAGGTTATAAATTCTGCTGTTCATAGATTATTCAGATTATTGCCATGGAGTGATGGTTTCAGTCATGGGGTTGCCCTTCTTCCAGCGTTGCAGAGATAATTCTTTAATGTAGTTTTTTTTTTGGGGGGGAGTGATATGTAAAGCCCTCCTAGGCAAGGCTGTTGTAGATGACAGTAAATTAAATATTGGAGAAATACCTTAACAGCTTTAATTCACAGCACATACTGCTGTGAGCAGTTTGATGTATTTTGAAAGGGACTTTTCAGGGGGGAGAGGTCTCTACATCCTCACTTCTGACATCTCAGTTGCTCGAGTGTCTCAGGGCCTTTTTCTAGCTCAGGTTTTTGCTGGGGTGCATCTCGTGGAAGGTGTTTGAACCCTCAGGGGTAGCTGCTGTTTTACACTTGCTGGGTGGAATCACACACTGTGCTACGGGGTCACACAGCACCTTCTGGGCTCTGTTCCACTGGAAATAAGGATTATTTACACCTTTGCAGGATTTCAAATGGTTCAGAGCAACATGCCTGTCCTTTACAACCAAGTTTCACTGGGACAGACACGTGCTTTAATTAGTTTGTGATTGATCTTTTTTCCTGTACAGAGGTGCAGATTTTGATGCATTTATTCGTGATGAATATTCTGGAACTATTTCTACATAAGCATCGGAGAGATTTATACCCACTTGCAGCGTTTCACAAACGAGCAGCTCATTTCTCTCACCCGGGGATTCCAGCTGGGAAAGAATTAGGTTTCTCTTCTGCGGCGTGTTTATATTACCAGCGTTTATAATTTACTCCAAATTAAACCCGGGGAAGGGAATTGCGTGGGTTTGTTTCTAAACTCAGGTGAGGCAGGGATCACTGTTAAACAGAAGCAGGAAAATGCCCTTTTGTCGGCTTCAGACACTGAGCAGGAACACTTGGGGGTTGGTTTTTCTGATGAGTAAGAGTTGTGTTTCCTAATGCTAATGAATTGTTTTGGTGAGAAGGGGGGTGGAAATTGCAGAATAGATAAGCCCTGCTTTTGTTTCTTATCACATGTGGTTTTTATTTGAGTACATATTGCTGGAGATTGCTGAGTTGCACATTGTGGGGGGGGGGGAAATGATGTTTAGTAATGAGGCAAATCCAGGCTGAAGGCGCTGGGAAATGAATTTTCCCGGGTTGGGAAAAGCTGAAAGCGTGGTGGGAATTGATGATCCCGGGATTGCCTGGGCAGAGCTGTCTGAACCTTCCTCCCAATCCCTGTGTGAGCATCCATTCACTTACAGTTTGGCATCAAGTTAGAGAGGGAAAGTACCTGAATTGCAAGTTAAGGGCATGATTTGATGCTTCTAAAATTTTGACAGTTCCAGTGGGAAGGGACTTTCTCAGTGATCACCTCGGGATGATCTGTCTCTGACCATTAAATATAACATTCAATTCTGATTATTTTGACAGGCTGGAATCAGTTAACTTGCTTTTTTTTTCTTGCTTTCCCCTCAGTTTGTTCCCTCTCCACCCCTTGGTTCGTTCAGTTTCTGCTCTAACACTGGAAACATAAAATGTTCATCCTCTGGCTTTGAGGCATCCTGGGGCTGGTGCTGCTCCTGAAGCAGCATATTCGTTGTCCTTTCAAAGCAGGGAGCTTTTAACTTTGCACAAGGCATACTTTTCTTGTTTGTCAAACTGTATAAACAAAAATATCCATAATGAATATTTGCTTTTTCTGCAGGGAACTAGGAAAGCTCAGTCAGGAGGACTTTGAAATATATGTGCACACACACACAAGATCATTAATATAATGGCAGTGCTTATTTGATATTTAAAAAAAAAAGGTTATTATGACCTACTCCTACATTCACTTTTCTTTGGAACGTCCTTTTATGCTTAAAAACATATTTTTTTTTTGTGATTTCTGTTTATAAGACCAGATAGTTTTCTCTTGGAGAGACACGTGAAGTTCTGTTGTTTGTTGTGTTGTCAACAGCCACTTGTAGGAAGGCACTTAAATAAATGTAGGCAAGTATTACAAGGTCACACAGGAGGGGTGAGGTTGGAGGGGACCCTGGAGGTCACCTTGGCCACCTCCTGCTCAGGCAGGGCCACCAAGAGCCTGTTGTGTCCAGAGTATCTCCAAGGTGGGAGGTATCAGGTGTGGGGGGACTTATTTTAGCTGCTGATCAGAACTGCTGACCTGGTACTGCCTGATGCACTTGGGTTTAGGTTCAAAAACATAAATAAATACCTAAATGACTCCCCATGTGGACAGAGCCTGCTCTTAACTGGATGTTTGTGGGAGGGCTGTGCACTCATAGCCTGTGGTTGAACCCTCACAGTTCCTTACAAACAAGGACAAAGCAGCAGCCCGGACACCAAGGTGTAAAACAGGAGGTCAGCAGAGGATAACTCTGCTTCAAACCCATGCAAATGTTCTGTAAAACAGAAATCCCTCAGAAAGGCTTCACAGAAATCTAAGTAAGAAACTCAAAAGATTTATTTCCATGCAAAACCAGGTGAAATCGAGACAGCAGACTTTGCTTAGGAAAGGAATGTTTAGTTGTTTGTTTTTATTAGAATCAACTGGCTTATGTACTGGGGAAGTGTAGTTTCCAGGTTAAGTTGTTTCTCAGTTTGGGTTCAGCCCCTGTATTTATTTACTCACTTTGGGCGTGTTTGGAGGCTGCCGGGATTACTGGAGTACATTTGGCAGTAGGGAGAG